ACTCTTTGCTGGCTTCACCCATGGCAAGATCCCTAAAACAACCTCGGGCTGATCTTCCACCGCTTGCTGCAGCTTCTGCAAGCATCTGGCCTGAACGTTTGGAAGGCCAGATAGAGCTGTCAATGCTGTCAATGTGTGAAACCCCGTACCTCAAAAACCTTGAGAGTTTTCGCTGAAAACAAGGACCGGATGACAATAGCTTAGGATTTGCCAGTGTTTAGTGAGTGGACTGAACAGCCAACATTTAGGTGTGCCTGTGTGGGACTTGAGGCTGTTAGTTTCTCTTGACACCAAGTATTCTGAGATATTCTGAACCATTTCTGGCTGACATGACAACCCCAAGATCTCTGAGGAGTGAAGATGGATCCCAAGATTTCAGGTGCTCAGCATGATCAGCATATATGCAGCATATGCTTCTTCTTTTCGGCGCCGGAAAAATCTGAAAATCCAGAGCCAAGCGGTTTCACCAAACAGGATCCGTTGAGCCCACCATATCCCATCACCATCCTCCACGGCGCCTCAAGGACTAGCAGCGCCTCACTGTGTGGCACATCTGGCTAGCCCCAAAAAATATAGAATCTATAGATCTTTTGGGGTCCATGCTTCCAAGACTTCAATGGGAGAAAAGAAATGAAAGAAGGCCCTTAACTACTCAACTACCAACTTCAGAAACTTCTTGGGGACATATGCATGCAAACGTGTCAAACATATACATACCTGCAAAAACAATCCAAAGGACAAATTTCTGTGAAATTCACATTCAGTCACTTCTGGGTTTCAACTCATGTCGAGGGGGGCACGCACTATTGTCATTTTCATGTGTTTTCTTGGGATGCCAGCTTAGATGTCCCTATCTCCTAAGGCGCCTTGTCAGGGTTGTCCAGCGTTTTACCCAGCCAAGCCTGACATGAAATCAACATCTCAAAGGTGTGAGGTAAGAACTTTGTGAGAGATTTCATCCACATTTATCATGTTGCTAGATCTGGGCCAGCTGATCTTCCATGAGTCTCTTTGGAAAATGTTTTGAACAAACGGTGGACTGTAGAACTCTTTTTTTGTGCGTCAAACGTTGCCCTTTCATGGCAGCACAGGCAATGCTAGGCCTCCAGAATGGGATCTTCATGAGGCCTGGCCAACGGCGGTGGAAGATATGGCTTGAAACTTCAGCCACTCAAACCATGGCTCCGCAAAAACGACCAAACTACAGGAGATATTGGGGATGTTCCTTGACCCAATTTCTGCGCCAAAATTTACCCTCTGGTAATTTAACGTAGCTATTGGAAATGGCCATTTATAGTTGATTTACCCATTAAAAATGGTGATTTACCATAGCTATGTTAGTTTACCAGAGGGTATTGTGTTCATTCACGTCCATCTTCGTCTGTCACGCCTCTGGTCGAAGAGTAGGGGCAGTTCAAACTCCGTCACCGACTCGGATTGACTCTTTGGGACCTCCCTGGCGCAGCATGGGGCGGCACAGGGTCAGCTGCTCACCATGGTCAATATACCTATCTAGTAAAGAAACATTATTGCTTTGGAAACCCAATGGGTTTCTTTTTTTTTGATCCGCGGGTTTTCTTATATATGGGAAATGATCTGCAAATGGTGGCTCGTCCGTATCTATGTTAGTTTACTGAAGAGTATTGTGGGCATTGGGTGGTTTGGCTCGCAAGCTAATTACATTTACATCAAACAATTTCTGGACATGCAATTATATATATATATAATGTATAGAGATACATAAACATGGATGGTATGTGGATGGTCAGGCAGGTATGCTTCGCACTAAAATGCACTAATTTTTAAACACGTTCGAAATCTGTTGGATTGCATGGCCTGACATGAATAGACGGTTGCCTGATGGCACACTGCCGCAAAGCCATTTGGGTTCTGGAACCCCAGGCCCCAGACTGACTACATCTGACTACACTGGATCTGAGACCCAGTCATTTTTTGTCTTAACAGCAGCGTCCAATAAAAAAATCACTGAAGCGATGCAAGAATCAGATCCAAGAGTCTGAGGATTCCCTGATATTTCGTGATATTTACAATTTACAACGCCATACAACGCCACACCTGGGACGTGGACCAACCTCTACACCTCGTTGCCAAAGGTTGCCGGTGGCACACCACGAGGTCCAACAACTCCGGATCAAAGTTCGCGGCAAAGCTGTGGTCTCCTGGGGAAAACCATATCCCAAATGTGTCCCATTTAGTGTCCCATTTAGATGAGTATGTCATAGTATTTCCCATCCCTCTAAATCCTCTAATATCCCGAGAAACCAATATCTGATTACATCTGATTGGTGGTTTCAACGGCCATCCAAAAAATGAGTCGATACAATAGATGGACAATATAAAAGAACATCAACCCACCAGCCAAACATTGAAGTCCCCCTGGAAATTACTGCCTTCAACATCAACGGATCCAATATGATCCAATACTAAACCAGCCTGCTAAATTTGATTTAAAATAGTGGATAATAGTGGAAAGGGACTTGGTTTGACCTTGCATCCTTGAGCATTGGGGGAAAAGCCCACGTGGCAGGTCGGAACCGCTGCCCATGCCCTACGGCCACAAGAATCATGTCGAAGCCATGAAAGAGACCGGACGCCCCCAATGCCAACCCAAAAGCATCCCAGGCATGTCATGTTTATGTTTCACCCAAATTCAGGACCCCAACATCTCCAGCAAAACTGGAAGTGTCAATCTAAAGAGAGGCTAAACTGCTAAACCATCTATCTGGTGGATTCTTGGTAACCCCATATTTAATGTTATTTAATGATGTGGGTTTATCATGGCTTACCCGGTTTACCCATGATGGGAGATACCCCAATTCATGGCCGTTCAAATGTGAACAATGAGCGAACATGAATAACCATGATGATATAATCCTTTGGAAATGGGGCCATTATCCCATTTTCAGACAAACCCTAAAACCAACCCATACAAAAGAACGGTATTATATATCTTAATTTGGTTGCATTAAGATTCACAACCATGTTATTGGAATCTATTGGAATCTATTATTCACAAACACAATAAAACACATCCGGTGGAATTGGGCTATGACCCATGTGAAAACACGTCCCCCATTCCTCTCTGGTCCTGAGCGCAGCCCAGGACCAGAGAGAACGTGAAACTCTTGCGGCCTGCAGCCACAATTTCCGACGAAAAACACGCGGAGAATGTTGAGAAACATATGTAACATATATACATAGTGTAGAGGTATAGAATAGTATAGACAGGTATATAGAGGAGCTCTTGGGCCCAAATTTCAGAGATATTGGCACTTCCACTCTTCAATGTGAACAACAAATCTCGAAGAGCTATTAGACACAAGTGGCCCTAAACCCGTATGGTCCAAGTGGGCAAAAGGCCATAAATGAGGCCCATCACCTGGCTTCACTACAGGAATCAATTCATACCAAGAAGAACGTGGTGGGAAGTTGCAACATCTTGGAAACACATCAAGAATCAAAGTCCACACTGATTCATTTCGCAAATGCTTGCAAATAAAATGCAAATACATCAACATCATTAAATCATTCCAGTATTTCCCACATGTTTTTGGCCCACGTATGCTTCAGAAATCAGAGCTATGCTAGCCAGTGTCAACCCGGATTTATACAAATAGCGCCCAGTTTGCTGATAATTATAGGATCAGGGGTTTCCTTAAAGGTAGGGATACTTTATATGATAATTTATGATAATTCCAACTGCAGATAGTATCCCCATGTCACCACCCATGGGATTGCCACTAGCGTCCCCTCGGGAGCGCCGCGATCCTGTACAAGCCCTCATGGAAGGGGAGTCCCATGGCCGGATAAGGAGTCCAAGCAGCGCCACGGGAAACGGAACCACCAAAGACGGGTTTGGAGAATGATCATGTTTCGAGATAGCACATGTTGGGTTGTATTTCACTTTTACCTTCACGTGCTCTCGGCTAGCAGATTTTGGATATCTCTATTCTCGCAGCTTGTTGTCAAATGATCAGCTCTCATGACACGTGGCCTAAGGCTTTTGAGCCTAACCTAGTGCTCACTTGGCTTTGATAGCGATCGAAAGAACGATGGCGTCCTGCACCTGGCACCATTCCTCACTTGGTGTCCAACTCAAAACAACCATTGGGCGTAGCCTTGCCGCAGCATCTGCTCCAGCAACTCCCGGAAAAAAAAAAACAACTGGACCATTACTGAAAAGGGGAACTATGGGAAACTGATGCCTTTGACACCCGCATTTAATGCATGCTTCACATGACCCCAAAGATGTCATATTGCCATACAGCTGCAGCAAGAGCACGATGTTGGTGTTTTTTGCTGAGTGCACACAGCTTCCAATGCTCACAACACAATTCACTCCTATCCCAAATGTAGGCATCAGCAGCACCACAACATTGTCAGAAGCTACGACAAAATTACAAGCATTTTCCCACATCCCCAAGTCATTACTAATAATCCAAGCTGATCATTAGGAATAAAATCACTCCAATCATAATCATTGGTAGTTATACTGAGTTATACTATCTATCTATATATATAATATATATATACAGTATACAGTATACAGTATATATAACTTAGCCCAATAACAAGTCCCCAACAAAACATGATCCAGGTTGGCTCTTTTTCCTCCACATTGGGCCTCCTCAAGGCCAACAATCCGCGCAGTTCCTCAAACGCCACTTTGATCTTTCGGAAAGCTGCGGCCACGTCCTTCCCAGAGAGACTTTTGAATTTTAGGCGATGCCTAAGGGTATCCTAAAAATCATGGGTTTCAATACTAAAATATAATGAAATATACTAAAATATAGTGAAAATTTGGAGAGAAATGGACGTGTCAATACTATAAAATATAGTGATAGTTTGGATGATTTGGGGTATCCCCACTTTAGGACACCTATTGAAACCTCCATTTCTCTCGGGGATCCTGAGCTTCCAAAGTTCCTTGGCAGCCCATTCAACCATGAGAAATGGGGAACGTGAAGGTGGCAAGAAATCCTTTTCAACACAGGCTGATGGGTGAAACAGTTGCTTCATTTTTGAAGCCTCAAATTGCAGGTGAAACTTGAACCTCTCAAAAAATTGTAATCCTTCTCCTGATCTATGAAACTTCAAATGATTTTGGACATATGTGGCAATTGAATGCAATTGAATTAGACTAGACATCCGCAAGGCTCTGCCGCAGTCCTTTTCACTTCTCTAAAAGCGGCGTGACCTGATCTCCATAGTCGTGCTTCCGTGTGAAGGAGGTTCTCCTGTTGACCAACATGGTCAACAGCAACTCCTGGAAATCACTGGACCGGATGCCCGCCAGAGTCATCGATGCAAATAACTTGGTGGTGAAATTCATGGTGACGTAGAAGATGCGCTCGTGGCGGTAGGAGACCAAACCATGCCTGCCATGGAAAAGCGGTCGCTTTTAGGGATCATGGTTTAATGTGGGCAGCGAAGAGGGAGCAAACTTTGTGCTACAAAACGGGACAGTTTCATCTGCATTTTGTTCGGCTGTTGGGTGAAAAAGGATTTAGATGGGTTTAAGCGGGATCAATAGGTTCAATGATGCGGGGTGCTTGCCATTGACAACTCAAGAATGACTTCAAGCAGCAAAACTTCCAAAACATACCAAGATGATCCAGCTGCATTCTAGCCAGGTAGACTATGCCATAGATGCCGAACACGATAATCAGCACAAATGCCAGCAATGGCCGCCCCAACAGGAACCCCTTGGGATTGCGTTGTTTCCATCGGTAGACCCATTGGCACATGGTCCATGACGCCCTGAAATACATCAGGAAGGTGATCGACAGCACGGCGTATCGCAGGGCCAGATTGGAGATAAAATTCGCCACCCAAGCGAACACAATGTAAACCTGGTGGGAGTTTTTCTGGGATGCTGCACTCATCTTCGGCGAGAGATGGAACAAAATGAATTAGGACAATCGATTATGGGTTCCGCCCAACAAATTGGAAGTCTACCCTCCGGTAATTTAACATAGCTATGGAAAATCACCATTTTTAATGGGAAAATCCACTATTTCTATGGCCATTTTCAATAGCTATTTTGACATAACCAGAGGGTAGTCTATTCGTATCATAACATGTTTGAAACCACTAGGTGATCGGCCACACCAGCGGTTACCCTAAGCATCCAAACCATTGCAAACCTTGAATTAAATTCTACACCGAAACGTTCTTGGCTGGCTGCAGTAGCAACTGCTCCCATTTATCACAACATGTTTTTGAAATAAAGATTGATCAAGTTCCAAAACTAACCCAACTACCAATCCAAAGTCTACCCCAAAACCGCCAACAAAACAAATACCCTCCGGCAACTGAACATACCTATGGACAATCAGAATGTTGAAAAACCGTAAATCATCGAAGTAAATGAGCCATCTATACCATAGCTATGTTAGTTTACCGAAGGGTAAAATCAACCACCAAGATACATTGGTGATCAGCAATGGTTCTGCCACTTCGGACCCTGGCCTTCCAAGGGCAATGGACCCCGCCAAAACTAGGAGAATGGGCACATTGATGAGCCATTCCGCATAAAATACGCCTGGGTGGTGGTTGAGCCATCCACACCCATCCACACTAGAACACAATAACTGACCATAACCCCGCACAGCCTACTCTACTGTAGGTTCAAACAAACCCGCATACATGCATTTGTATAAGATATACGGCATTATATATATTATTAATATGGCTTTAATATCATATACAAGTATATATTATACATGTCTGTGTGTGTAAATGAAAGCTTGGTGACCACCGTGCCAATTTTTGATGGACAAAAAGAACACATCTCGTTTTTTCACATGTTGAAACCACCAGTCTCAGAAGCTGTAGACGGGCGTGTCATTCAACTCGGTTCCCAAATTGGCTGCGTGCGCGTACCAAGGAAGCTCACCAAGCACAAGAGCCATGTTTTCGATGATGAGAACCAAAAAGGTGGCACACAGCAGCATGGATGGAATCAAGGAATCCTTGATATCCGGAATAATATCCTAGGTGCCATGGTGTTACACATGGGAACCCCATGGAGAAACACGTGGGGCCTTCTTTCGGATGGATGATAATGAAGTAGTTCAAACATGTTGAAACTGTTCAAACCCGCCATGTTCGATCATGATGGTTGTGCTTGATTGCAATGCTTCCATTTACTGTATGCGATTTATATGTGTTCTCTACCCAGCATTGGTAATTTACAAAGCCTAGCAAAACATGTCTCTGAATTGGGTACATCAGAACATTCCATCGTTGAACCCCTATTTTCCCTGGTTTTGAATAGCCATCAAGTAAGTGGAAAACATCCATTTTGAGATGGCAACTTCTAGCTGAATATCCAAGTTTTATTATGATGCCACGTATTCATCCCACAAACATCACAAACCAAGTGGGATGTATCAAAAAACATGTGCCCAGGTGAACATCAAAATCAAAATAGCAGTGGATGTTCATGAGAATGAAGAGGTGGAGTTAGAGCTATTTTGATCCTCCATTCCAGTTTCAGTGGCACTCTTAGCGCACATAGTTACATTAATTCACTCATTCAATTATGTACCCATCATATCCCATTGTTTTTAGGAGGCTTAATCCAGTCTCACAAGTTTTCTTGGCCCAAAATCAATAAATAGACCGATACCATCCGATACCCAATCTATCCCATCATAACCAAGCCATTATATCCTCATTTTTATGTTTCAAAATGTGTCCAAATAAAACTCCGGTAAGAACCAGCAAGTCTCTAAGTCTCTATTGCTTGTTTTTTCTAGATTGCTGCTTTCCCCATATCTGTCACTATCCCTAAGGTCTCCAAGTCTCAATGGCTTTCTTGGCCGTGTTATGCGTCAGCATCACCGAGGCCAATTCATGCATCAGCACTGACGCCAAGGCCGCCGAGACGCCGCCGCTGTAGAAGCTGAGGTCTTGGTCGAGCAGGTGGTGCTGCCTGCGCACATGGAAAACTGGGATACCCTCGGGCAAACGTTGCCATAGATGTGGAAAATCCATGAAGACCCACCATTAGTTGATGATTTTCCTAGGGAAACCATGGGTTTTCCACATCTATGGCAACGTTTACCCTAGGCTATATCCCCACAGAAATGTCTGGGTAAATGATAAGATTTCACTTGCCTGAAATGGGCGAGGGGCCATTTGGGGATGACTCCCCGAATCCTAACCATGATTTCAGTGAGGTCACAGTATGGCATTTGAATAGGGAAACTGATGATAAACCACTAGATGGATTGGGGTTATAACTTGAGAATCAGCTGATAATCTATTATCTTCCATGTCTACAGATAGAAGCAAACACAAGGAACACATATCCACAAATATCTAGGTCACTGTAGATAGATATTTGTTCATCAAATAAGAATGATATTATCATATTAAACTTATTTGGGATATAATGAGAATATTCCTGCTTTTTTGGCGGGGATTGGTTACTAGCAGGTGAAAAAACATATGCTTCATGAAGCTACACTGCGAACGAGCTGCTCACATGCTGGAGATTGGGTGCACAGCACCGGGTTGGCCAAAGCGCTACCTGGGGGCCGTGGAGGCCAAAAACATGAGAGCCTTTGGGGCCGTGGGGATACCAATTTTGGATGCTTGAGGGATATGGAAAGCATTGAAAAAGTACGTGCAAAGTCATCACTCCCAATTAAAGGAACATTTGGTATTCATGTAAATTAAAGTGTCTTTTTTACCCACGACCCAGCTACACACCAGCACTGTCAGAGCTGTCACCAAAACCCAGGTCAACTTGTAAGATGACAATTTGCGCAGCAACAAGCAGAAGGTCTCATCGCCATCCAACTCATCGTCACTAATCTCCAAGCTAACCAGGACTCGATTTTTGGATGAGGTGTCCGACTTTGACTTAAGGCTCTCATCTTTGGTCACTTCACCTTTCAACTCCTCGCGGTCCTCGCGGTCCTTGCGTTTCGTCAGCTCCCGGGCCTCCCCCGCCACCAGTGCCACCGGTGCCATCGGTGCCGGTGGCGACACCCACGAGGAAGGCGATAGGCCATCGCAGGGATCGCCCGCAGGCTCTGCGGGCTGGTGTGACGTGGCACGAACCGGGATGGATACGTGCATGGCGTGTGGCACGGTGAACGGGCGACCGCTGGAGCCTTGAAAAATGCCTGGAAAAAAGGACAACATTCATGTGAAGAATCTGCAGAAACAGAAGTGCAGCTTGTTGGTTGAAGCTGTTTCAACACCTATGAACGGGCAGCCTTAGGACTTGAGATGATTTGAGTCAACTGCATGACGATCATGCTCATCTGGAATAAAAAGTGGGTCAAAGTGGGAATGATACCGTTGCCCCCATACCCACAGGTCCGGTATGGGGGGCTCCTATCATACCCCCTACCGTCCATACCCCTTTGGAATATTTTTAAAATATTCCGCTATAGTTGAACGTTGTTTTGGAAAAGTATTCTGATACGTTGCCCACGTATGGAATAATTTCCAGCAATTTTGCTTCCAAAAATATTCTGGCAACATGTCAACCTTTTGCTGGAAAATATTCCAGGTATATGCTGAGGGTATCTAAGCTGAACATAGCTGAACATGATGGTGTTTGGCACCATTCGTTCTGCACATGTTTGTGTCGCGCTGGGACAGATGCATCATTTTTTCCCCAAGGGATGAAGCTTCAAAGGCGCCATCCCACACTGCATCCTACCCTACATATCCCTAAACTACATTAAACAACTTTGGATTTTTTTCTTGGGGAAATCCCTCAAAATGGCATTATACCTGGTTCTCTCCTGAAATTGTTCCCAACCATTTATTTTTCACCCTATTTCGTCCATGTTCTTTTCATGACTTCCAAAGAACTCCCAATAGCATCCGATGGCCTTGCGTGGTAAGGGCTAAAAAGGGTAAGAAGCGCTTGGTTGTCACATGTTTTGTCGTGTTTTTTTGAGGAGTTCCGGACATCTCCGCTACCCTTAGAATGCTTTCTCCTCTGGGGAAATCCCATAGAATGGCATTCAACTTGGCTCTCTCTTGGAAGTGTTCCCAACCTTTCATGTTTCCCTCTATTTCTTCCATCTTCTTTTCAGCAAGAAGCATTTGGTTGTGATTGCTTTTTTCATGTTTTGTCCTGTTTCTGGGCTGGTTGGGTGGTTGTGGCAGCTACTTTTTTATTCGAAGGGTTCCGGATATCTCACATACCACCAGAATCATTTCTTCCCCAGTGGAAACCTCACAGGATGGCATTCAACATGGCTTTCAACATGGCTCTTTCCGGGAAGTGGCCCGAGCATGTCCCAGCCTTTCATGTTTCCCTCTATTTCTTCCATCTTCTTTTCAGCAAGAAGCATTTGGTTGAGATTGTTTTTTTCATGTTTTGTCCTGTTTCTGTGCTGGTTGGGTGGTTGTGGCAGCTACTTTTTTATTCGAGGGGTTCCGGACATCTCACATACCCCTAGAATAATTTCTTCCCTGGTGGAAATCCCACGGAATGGCATTCAACATGGCTCTTTCCTGGAAGTGTCCCCAAAATGTCCCAACCTTTCATGTTTCCCTCTATATATTTCTTCCATCTTCTTTTCAGCAAGAAGCATTTGGTTGTGATTGTTTTTTTCATGTTTTGTCCTGTTTCTGTGCTGGTTGGGTAGTTGTGGCAGCTACTTGTTTATTCGAAGGGTTCCGGACATCTCACATACCCCTAGAATAATTTCTTCCCTGGTGGAAATCCCACAGAATGGCATTCAACATGGCTCTTTCCTTGAAGTGCCCCCAAAATGTCCCAACCTTTCATGTTTCCCTCTATTTCTTCCATCTTCTTTTCAGCAAGAAGCATTTGGTTGTGATTGCTTTTTTTCATGTTTTGTCCTGTTTCTGTGCTGGTTGGGTGGTTGTGGCAGCTACTTGTTTATTCGAAGGGTTCCGGACATCTCACATACCCCTAGAATAATTTCTTCCCTGGCGGAAACCCCACAGAATGGCATTCAACATGGCTCTTTCCTGGAAGTGCCCCCAAAATGTCCCAACCTTTCATGTTTCCCTCTATTTCTTCCATCTTCTTTTCAGCAAGAAGCATTTGGTTGTGATTGCTTTTTTTCATGTTTTGTCCTGTTTCTGTGCTGGTTGGGTGGTTGTGGCAGCTACTTTTTTATTCGAGGGGTTCCGGACATCTCACATACCCCTAGAATAATTTCTTCCCTGGTGGAAATCCCACAGAATGGCATTCAACATGGCTCTTTCCTGGAAGTGCCCCCCAAAATGTCCCAACCTTTCATGTTTCCCTCTATTTCTTCCGTCTTCTTTTCAGCAAGAAGCATTTGGTTGTGATTGTTTTTTTCATTTTTTGTCCTGTTTCTGTGCTGGTTGGGTGGTTGTGGCAGCTACTTGTTTATTCGAAGGGTTCCGGACATCTCACATACCCCTAGAATAATTTCTTCCCTGGTGGAAATCCCACAAGAAAAGCATTCAACATGGCTCTTTCCTGGAAGTGCCCCCAAAATGTGCCAACCTTTCATGTTTCCCTCTATTTCTTCCATCTTCTTTTCAGCAAGAAGCATTTGGTTGTGATTGCTTTTTTCATGTTTTGTCCTGTTTCTGTGCTGGTTGGGTGGTTGTGGCAGCTACTTTTCTATTCGAAGGGTTCCTGACATCTCACATACCCCTAGAATAATTTCTTCCCTGGTGGAAATCCCACAGAATGGCATTCAACATGGCTCTTTCCTGGAAGTGCCCCCAAAATGTCCCAACCTTTCATGTTTCCATCTATTTCTTCCATCTTCTTTTCAGCAAGAAGCATTTGGTTGTGATTGTTTTTTTCATGTTTTGTCCTGTTTCTGTGCTGGTTGGGTGGTTGTGGCAGCTACTTTTTTATTCGAAGGGTTCCGGACATCTCACATCCCCCTAGAATAATTTCTTCCCTGGTGGAAATCCCACAGAATGGCATTCAACATGGCTCTTTCCTGGAAGTGCCCCCAAAATGTGCCAACCTTTCATGTTTCCCTCTATTTCTTCCATCTTCTTTTCAGCAAGAAGCATTTGGTTGTGATTGCTTTTTTCATGTTTTGTCCTGTTTCTGTGCTGGTTGGGTGGTTGTGGCAGCTACTTGTTTATTCGAAGGGTTCCGGACATCTCACATACCCCTAGAATAATTTCTTCCCTGGTGGAAATCCCACAAGAAAAGCATTCAACATGGCTCTTTCCTGGAAGTGCCCCCAAAATGTGCCAACCTTTCATGTTTCCCTCTATTTCTTCCATCTTCTTTTCAGCAAGAAGCATTTGGTTGTGATTGCTTTTTTCATGTTTTGTCCTGTTTCTGTGCTGGTTGGGTGGTTGTGGCAGCTACTTGTTTATTCGAAGGGTTCCGGACATCTCACATACCCCTAGAATAATTTCTTCCCTGGTGGAAACCCCACAGAATGGCATTCAACATGGCTCTTTCCTGGAAGTGCCCCCAAAATGTCCCAACCTTTCATGTTTCCCTCTATTTCTTCCATCTTCTTTTCAGCAAGAAGCATTTGGTTGTCATTGATTTTTTCATATTTTCCGGTTTTCCTTTCATGTATCCCCCATCTCTTTTCTGTATCTTAATCTTTCCTAGCGTGTCTTTTCTAGGAACTGGTCTCCTCATGTCTCCTCTGGCTGCTTTAAGTCCGATGATTTGGCGAGAACATTGGGGCCTCTATTGCTGCGAAAAGCTGACAGATTGCAGAGAGGCCACCGAAGGACTGGCGGAGATGTGGATCCTACGTGTGCGAGCGGATTGGCTGAGCTAGGATTTCTTCCATTTTCACTTCCATTTTCTTTTCATGTGCTTGCAAAGAACCTGCGTGGGAGGGGGTAAGAAAGGGCAAGAAGCATTTGGTTGTCATATGTTTTGGCATGTTTTGTCCAGTTTCTGGGCTTGTGGCAGCTACCTGCCCTGGCATCCTCGCCAACTTTGAATTTTGAGAGACTCTGGCTGCGGGCGGAAAAAATTGGGTGGCGCAGTCTTTCTGCTGGCATGGAAGGGTTTCAGCTAGCATCACGGTGGGGTTGTACAAACCAAATTTCAAGCCCTCAGTTAGCAAAACCACGCTGTCATATCAGGCTGCCTTGACCTTGAAGGATTCCGGTGCAAGTATTGCAGCTTTCTGCATACTACATGATATTTCATGCCCAAATATGTCAGACAATCAGAAAACATATATTCAAAAATATTCCAGGTATATGGGGAGCTCAAGGCCAAAAATATTCCAGGTATAGTCCGAGGGGGGGGTATCAGATACCCCTTGCCAAAAATATTCCAAAACATTCCCAAAAAAATATTCCAAAAAAAATATTCCAGCACCTCAGGGGTATACCTGGAATATTTAAGATAGGAGCCCCCCATGTTGCGGATGCGTCACAAAGTTATGCAGCTTGTGCTTGGCAGGCTCGCTGGAAACAAAACTGAAAAGTCTCAATTTTATCAAAGTTTCAAGTCAATTTTATTTCAATTTCTAAATTTTATAGTAGGGTTTCAGAAGTGACGTTAGGCCCTTTTTTAGGCAGCTTGGAAAGCTCGAAGATGGCTACTTTTCGTGTAGTTTCAGAAAGCAACGTTAGGCAGTAGGGGCCGTTGCCGGCAGGCCCGGTCCGTCCTTCAGGGCCCTGCTGTTTGGGCGTGGCGGAGGCGCCGTTTCTGAGCTTGGAAAGCTCGAAGATGGCTACTTGTCTTGTAGGTTCAGAAAGCAACGTTAGGCAGTTGGGGCCGTTGCCGGCAGGCCCGGTCCGTCCTTCAGGGCCCTGCTGTTTGGGCGTGGCGGAGGCGCCGTTTCTGAGCTTGGAAAGCTAGAAGATGGCTACTTTTCGTGTAGTTTCAGAAAGCAACGTTAGGCAGTTGAGGCCGTTGTCGGCAGGCCCGGTCCGTCCTTCAGGGCCCTGCTGTTTGGGCGTGGCGGAGGCGCCGTTTCTGAGCTTGGAAGATGGCTACTTGTCTTGTCGGTTCAGAAAGCAACATTAGGCAGTAGGGGACGTCCTTCAAGGCCCTGCTGTTTGGGTGTGGCGGAGGCGCCGTTTCTGAGCTTGGAAAGCTGGAAGACGGCTACTTTTCTTGTAGGTTCAGAAAGCAACGTTAGGCAGTTGGGGCCGTTGCCGGCAGGCCCGGTCCGTCCTTCAGGGCCCTGCTGTTTGGGCG